TTAATACAGTTATTATAAAAAAAACACACAAAACTGCTACAACATGGCACCAGCTCTTCCAACAGTCAAAGAGCCCAATCCTACTTGTCATTTATACATTGTGGAATGACCACTAGCCTTTATTCCCATTTCTTCCCCAAACTCTCCTAAAATGATAACAATGAAATCACAAAGACATGAAACCACACAGACAAACAGAAAGGAAGAGAAGGCAACAACACATTATACATTTCAACAACTTTTGCAAGCTGGATAGCAGTTGAAGGAGTGGTCACTGCCCCTCAGGACTCCTGAGTGGCGCAGCAATGGAGCCTCCAAAGGCCCCCAAAGGTGAACCTGGGCTCAGGCCTGATGAAGGGGGAGCTTCTGATGGAGGTATTCAAAGCAGTTGGTCCCTCAGGTCCAGCAGGAGACCTAAAGTTGTTTCTAAAGAAACTGAACCACATTAGCAGGAGCACTATACGCAGAAGTCAGAATCTAACTGAAACCCAGGCTACTGGTGTATCACAAACCTACCAGAGGCCGAAAATTGCAGGAGTCTTCTCTGTAGACACTGACTAGTCCCAAAGAAGATGTGAAAGTGCTGATGTGGGGGGTAGACTCGCAGCGAAAAGTCCACCTGCATCCCCACCCCAGGGCAGTCACATTAGACCACCAGCACACACACATTTTCTCCCCCTTAATCAACTTTCAGCATCTTGCTCTTAATTATAGGTAGCCAGGGATCACCAGACATTTGTGATATAAACAAACATAGAACATACCCTGAAATTAACAGGCACACTGGAGGAAGCAGAATATTAAAAACATACTAAATATATACAATAGCTAAAAACAACATGTACACACACCTCAAAGATAAGGGAAGATAATACATCTATAAAATAAGAATGAAATAGAAATGGACACAGACAACAAAAATAGCAGCTTTTAAAATTTAAAAACCTCATTGAAATTTAAAAATAAAAGCCTGGAAGATGGAATTAAGAAATGCTCACCTTCTTTCCACTTTCAATACAAAGATATAAATAAGAAGCAACATAGTAAGAAAATCTGGAGATTTGATAACCAAACCAGTAGCTATCTCAGAAAGAAAGAACAAAAAACAAAGAGTAGGAAAGTATAAAAGGAGTAATGGACATTTTTAGAAACTGAAGGACACGGTTCTCTAGATTAAAATGGCTCACTAAGACAAGATGGACGATAGACAGACTGAAGGAAGGACCCACACAAAAGTTTATAAAATTTCAGAACATGAGAGAAAAATACTTCAAAAAAGAAAAAAGAAAAAAAGAAACCAGAATGGCTTTGGATTTTCATCAGAAACCCTTAAGGCCAGAAAAAGTATGAAAATGCCATCAAAATTGTGTGGGAAAAATTTATTTTCAACCTAATATTCTAAATTCACCAAACCATCTATAAAGCACGAAGACTAGATAGACTCCTCAGACATGCAAGGCCTCGGATAATTTGCTTCCCATGTGCCCCTTTTGAAAGAGAGATACTCTTCAACAAAACAAAGCACAACCAGAAAAAGGAAGACAGGAGGTCTAGAAAACACAGGCTCCAAGACAAAAAAGGGACCAGAAGTTGCAAGAAAAACAACCCTGCAGTCCAGAATGGAATAAGAGAATGGAAGACTCTGGAGGGCCAGTCTCTAAGGGGAAACCAAGTGGGACTGATAGATGATTTGATGTGCAGCCTGGAAAAAAAATCAAAAGGCATTTAACAGATTTCTTGGAGTAGTTAAAAGAATGTAACCTACATTAAAAAAACTAACCAAAAAGTTTAAAAAGCAATTAATTATTTGCTCCAGGAAAAACAAAAATGGTCAGGGGAAAAAAAAATCATGGGTCACTATTTAGTTCAGAAGTGAGCAATAAATGTACACACAAGAATGTAAATACTGACTGCTGGTTCTACCAAAAATTATCATATAATGTTACTGGGGGGTCTGGGGAACAGAAGAGGGCAAGTACTCAGTTATGACACCAGGAAGTCAAATGCTCACTACACACTGATTTAGAAGTATGGAAGTAAAAACCAGGAAAAAATAAGCAGAATTAGTTTAAGACAGTAACTTCTTCTGGAAAGTAGAGCCTGGAGGATTAAAAGGCCAAAGGCAGGAGACTGTTGTTTTTCACTTTGAGCCTTTTAGCACTATTTGATATTTTATAAATTATGTGTATGTATTAATTGATTATAACAATTTATTCTCATATCAAGGGCGATTTTTTCGATTTATAAAGTTGCCGTAGCCCTGGCTGGCGTAGCTCAGTGGATTGAGCGCGGGCTGGGAACCAAAGTGTCCCAGGTTCGATTCCCAGCCAGGGTACATTCCTGGGTTGCAAGCCAGAACCCCCAGCAAACGCACATTGATGTTTCTCTCTCTCTCTCTCTCTCTCTCTCTCTCTCTCTCTCTCTCTCTCTCTCTCTCTCTCCCCCCTTCCCTCTCTAAAAATAAATAAATAAAATCTTTAAAAATAAATAAATAAAGTTGCCGCTATCAACTTTATTTATGTGTCTTACTTAGTATTCCAAACTCATTGTTTTAGAAATACTATAAAGTGATGGTTAGTTTTCCAAGTCAGCTTTCAGAAGGCATTTTACTCATAAGGACGTAAAAATATGGTACAAAGAAGTATTTCAAGTAGTCTTAAATACCGTTAGGAGTTTCTGTGGGAAACTGCATTCTAAGAACTCAGGAGGCCTGGTATACACCTGTCCTACCCACTTGATCTTCTGCACCTGGTGCAGCCAAGGAACACTTTTTTTTAAAAGATTTTATTTATTTATTTTTAGAGAGGGAAGGGAGGGAGAGAGAGAAACATCAATGTGCGGTTGCTGGGGGCCATGGCCTGCAACTCAGGCATGTACCCTGACTGGGAATCGAACCTGCGACGCTTTGGTTCCCAGCCCGCACTCAATCCACTGAGCTATGCCAGCCAGGGCTCCAAGGAACACTTTAAAGGCAGCATGTATAAGGGACATGGGAAGGGAATGGAAGGAGAGGACCTGGATCTGGCAGGATGGATAATCAAGAGACCCGCTATAACATGTCAACTCTCTCTGCATTGGAGAAAATACTGCCGGAGGTCCCTCTTGCCTCAGAGGTGGACCAGGCTGATCAGCAAGGCATCCTCCCCGTCCCTGCTCCCAATAGCCCATTCCTGCTCATCAACAGGTAACAAATACATCACTTCAAGTATTAATTAACAACCATTATTTTCCACCATGCCATAATCAAACTTCTAGTGTATAAACTATATCTTCATTTAATTCCATAAAACTTTGTGGCCTATGTCAACACTACATTCGACTTTTTTTAAAGATTATATAAAATTGTGTGGCCTTGAACAAGTTATTTAAAGCCTTACTTTACTCATCTCTAAAATGGAAATAATGATACCTACCTAAACGGGTAACAAGAGAAGTAGAGGAAATGATGTGTATAACACAAGTAGGGGCAGGTATATGACAGGCACTCAGTCAATGTCAGCCTCTGGTTGTCCCCTGTCCCCTACCCCCAACCAGACTGGTTTCTTACATGTAAACAAAGTCACAAATTATATACATGCTTTTAACAACAGCAAAATAAACTTTACAAAACCATGCATAATACATTAAAATTTTTTAAAATTAATGTGATGAGTCCATCTATAAGCATTCATTATTTTTCCTAAACCTTAGTTTAATGATCCAAGTACTAACCCAATTTGCAGTTTTAGTTCAGCTAACCTAGGTCCAGCTGATTCAGCTAGAAGAAAAAGAGGGTCAAGAATGCAAGACAGTATAAAAACACAGCATTTTTCTTTGGTCCAAGACTACAAACCCATGCACGTAACAGTGTCTAAACAGTCCGCTAAAAGCAAGTCCTCAAAACACCTCAAGGAAGTCTTTAACTTACAAAAAAATAACACTGACCAATAATTGATGCTTAAGAGATTAATTTTTTTCAACTCAGATGCACCACAAACCTGAGATGACATAAAGGCACTGCCATGATACACAAAAGAAGTAAATGTCTAGGTACGTGCAACTACCAAAGACTTCCCATTTGGACCATTTCTATCACACCTTCCTCTAAGGGGTCATTTCCAGAATCCGCAAAGTCCCAACACGAGAAAACCATTATGTTTTAAATTCATTCCCAAATGACAAAGCTAATTAAGTAGAACAGAACCAACTGACCCAAAGCCAAGTTCTCGTTTCCCTTCAAGGCATTCAAAGTAGAACAGTGGCCCAGAAATACAGGGTCAGTTCACACTCCAACACATCACAGACAAGAACCAAAAAGGTACCAAAGAAGCTAAAAGGTGTGGGCTACCTGGAGATTCATTCACTATTTAAAAGCAAACTTATCAATACCAAGATTTGGAGACAGCCACGAACATGTAATGAAATGTCCTTATAACATCTGTCTCACTTTTTTTTAAAGCATGATAACCAAAGAGTATGAGCTCAGTCAGCAGTGTAGCCTCTCTTGGGACACCAAAACCACCGCTAAGGGTTTACAGATTTAGTTAACATAAAACGTGGATTTCAAGGTATCCAAAATCCAGAGCCCTAAAGTGACACGCATAAGAAGAGTCAAAGAAACTTGGTGCGGCAGGGAAGAAAAGTTGGAAGAGCGCTTGACTCTAGAAAGGCTGCTGAAGGGCTGAAGAGGCTATGTGAAGGATGGAATGCGGTGGATCCCGGGTCTTTCGCGGTGGCCGAGGGGTCTCCAGGTCTTTCCGTGGCGGAGGAGCGAGGGTGTAGGCGAGAGCCATAAGGCTGACCAGGGGCGGGGGCTACGAAGGGACCACACCTCCCACCCAGCTCCTCAGGCAGAGGCCGGGGCCCCGAGGCACCCCGGGTGCAGGAACGGGATGGGGATAGCCAGGGAACAAGGAGAAGACCGACCCACGGATCAATGCGCGCGGACTGGGCCGTCGACGGCCGGAAGCAGCCGGGGACGGGCCCGACCTGCGCGCCCCGGCGCAGGCGGCCCCACTCACCGATGAGCCGGCGCACCTCGTCCTCGCTCAGGTAGAGGCTCACGCTGGGCCCCGCGGCCGCGGGCAGCAGCGCCGGGGGCCGCGGGGCCGGAGCGGCGGCGGCGCCGGGCGCGGGCAGCATCGGCACAAGAGTAAGCAGGAGCAGCAGCGGCGGCGGCGGGGCCCTCAGGCCGCGGGCCCCCGGGAGGCGGCCCCGGCGCGGCGGCCGCGGCCGCGCCGTCCCGTGCATGGCCACCGCCGCCGCCGCCAGGAGAGACCGTTGGCCGCCCGCCGCTGCGCCGCCGCCGCCCACCCCCGGCCCCGAGCCCCTCACAGCTCCGAGCCGGGGGCGGTCGCCCAGCTCATCGCGCCGCCGGCCCGTGGCAGCCGGCCGCCGCTTTAGACCGCCGGAGCGCGCCGCCGCCGCCGCCGTCTTCTCGGCGGCATCGTCCACTACAGGGGGCTGGTCGCGGGGGCGCGCCCGTGCGCGTCGCCGCCATCCCGAGAGCGAGCGCGCATGCATCGCTCGCTCGGTGCAGGCAGGGCTTGGCGCGGAGCGCTTTGATTTTAAAGTGCAGTTGTCGGAGAAGGAATCGCAGATCACTCTCTAAAGGAGTCTGCCCCCGCCCCCACGTTGTCACCAACCTGATGTTTGCTTGTCTGTTGTCTGTAACACCCTTACCGCTGTGGGGAGTGCGGGCAGGAAGGCCCAGGCCGTGCCTGCAGCTGAGTGGGCTCTCCCGACCCAAGGAAATACCTGGAGGCAGCCACTATGGTTGCAAAAGAGAAACTTGCGTTTTTGCTCAGTGAAAAAAGTGGAGAAAAATAGAAATCACCTTGTATCCCACCATCGGTAGTCAACATTAACATTTCTGTGTTTGTTCTCACACATGTAAACTTTATACATTTAAGTTCTTCAAAAAGAGCTTAGCAAACTTCAGTAACCTATCGTTAAACGTTTCAAATTTTTATTTTTTATAGTTGTTCTGCGTTCTTACTTTCGAACTGCATCTGGGGTCGTAAACCCGTGGTCCGCGCCAAGCTTTGACAGCCCCCCTCCCAAGAATGTAACATTGTGTGCAAATGTGTGTCTGTGTCTGAGTGTGTACTTGTGCTGGTACATCTGTGTCTCTGTGTGCTGTGTGTATGCCTGTGCACACAGAGAAGTGGTATGCACATCTCATCATTTGTTGTAGGGAGTCCGTATCTCCCAAAGAGGTCAAGAATCACGGATACATAGTCTTTTTAGAGGCAGCCCAGCGAGGCCTTACGAGGATCTTGATGTATTTAAATGATCCACCCACTATCGCGGTCAAATATGCTCCAGGTGCCCTGTCTCTCCGTGAGGCTTCCAAGTGTCCTTGCCTGTCCTGGGCTACCTCACCCCCATGCGCAAGTCCCGGGCCTGACCCTAGGCCTCCCAGCGGCCTATGGCCAGGGGAGCAGCTGCTCCTGGACCAGGCAGCTCCCAGGCGCAGTTGCTCCACCGCAGTGAGGCCCTGGGAGACGGCTATTTTTATCCTCTGAGGAGGCTCGGGGAAGAGAGAGGCTGATCAGGCCGGAAGTCCTGGAACTCGGTTTTCTCCTTCTGGGGTGAGAGGGAAGGGTTCCGTTTAGAGATAGGCTGGCCTCGACTTATCAAGCTTCAGCCCCCCAGCACAGTACTGCAGCCATCATTCCGTAGGAGGAGGCTGGGCAGAGCGTGAGGGCTGAAGAAAAGTGCTCCGCCAGTGACTGATCAAAACCACAAAGGTCAGCAAAAATGCTTACATTGGAGCAGGCACTGCTCCCTATTAGGGGACGAGCTTTATCAAGACAGACTTGGGGGCTGGGACTGTGCTGTGTGAACAGGGACCCCAATTTAGAGAGGAGACTTTTTTAAAAATGATGGCATATTCTCTGGATTTTTGAAAATGGCTCACAGTCCCCAAGTAAGGAAGCTCTTGTCTTCAAAGCAATATTCTCTTATCAGTGGCTTCCTGAGGCAGTTGGTGATAGAAACACAGCAGAGCTGTCTGTCAGGCCTGGCTGGGTTCTGGTACTTGTTAATGGGGTGACCTTGGGAAAACTACTTAAACTCTCCAAGCCTTGGTTTTCTCATTCATAAAATCACGGTGATGGTGCCTGACTCACAGGGCTTTTACAAAATTTAATTAGAGAAGATGTGAGTAAAACACGTAGGCAGATTCTGCACTCCGTGTCAGTCACACACCCATTGTTACTGCTATTATAATCAATACCTTCCTTCTAATGATCACTTTCTGGAAAGTTTCATCACCAATAACCTCCAAACCGTTCAAGCCAGGGATCCTCAGGAATTTCATTCAATATAGCACCACACCTGGCCCAACGCCAAGCTCAATATATTCTTCGACCCAGGCAGCACAGGACATAGAGTTGAGCAAGGTGCTTCCTAGAGGATGTACTAGAAACAAATATTTATTGCACATTATCATCAGTCCTATGAGGAAAAAGTTCGTGGTTCTCAACTTGTGGTTCCCAGACCATCAGGGTTCTCACTTGAAACCTTATAGAAATGCAGATTCCTAGGCCCTACTCCAGACTAACAGAAGTAGAGACTTCTGTTAGCAATGTACAGAGGACTGGCATGCACATTTTATTACTTGTTCTAAGAAGTCCTTGTCACCCAAAGCGCATCGTGGGACCTCCAGGTGATGCTGGGCACTCTGTCAAGAAAAACTCAGCTCTACCATCTCTCTTTTGGGCAATTGCAGTTGTCTCTCACTGGCCTCCCTGCTTTCCCGTACTTTTCTAGTCTGCTCTCAACACAGCGCCCAGAGCTATCCTGTCAAACGGCCACTACATCATGTCACTCCCTGGCTTTTAGACTGCCAGTGGCTCCCTAACTCATCTGGAATGAAAGGCAAAGTCCTTACAAGATATCAAGGCATTTAATAAGTCACCAACTATTTTTTAAAAGATATCAAGGCAGGTCTCACCCTCCACTTTTTTCTCTTCCCTTCTGATCTTACCTTCTTCTATCCTCCCAGTACTTGCTTAGCTCCAGCCATAATGGTTTCCTTACTGTACTTCCAACACACCAGATACAATCCTACCTCAGGCCTTTGCACCGCTATCCCCTGAACCTGGAATACTCTTCCTTCTGACATCCACAGGCTTCATCTCTCACCTCCTTAAATCTATATTTAAATGTTAACTTCTAAATAAGGTTGAAACTGTGAATTTCCCAGCACTTTAACTTCCCAGAGAAGGAAACAGTTCCCAGTCTCCCCTGGTCTCACACAAAGCTCTTCCCATCCCTGGAAAAGGAGTCCCCTCTCCCTCCTCAGCCAAGGTGTGGGTGGCAACTTTTGCCATTTTCCAATAAGCCTCACCGTGAAAATGCTGGGAAGCCCTGACCTCAGCCTCCTGAGGTTTCTTTGCCTAGAGGAAGTGAAGGCCACAATCACCACCATACTCAATGCACTGCCCCCGCTCATGGTTTTGCTTTTCATTGTGGTTGACCTAACTCTGCTTCTCCAGGAGTCAAATTTCAGAAGGACTGGAAAATGCCATCATCCAGACTTGTTTCACTGCTCCTTTAAAAAGGACAGCCTTAACCTTGAAATGCAGCCTGGTGGGTGGGTTTGGTGGGGAGGGGCATATGAAGCCTTTGCGATAATAAAAATGACTGGGGTGTTCCCTGCATGGAGTGTCTGATGCCCCACTTAGAGTCCCCGCTCATGACCACAAGGATAGATACCCAGCTCAGGGAGCCCTGGGAACAAATCCCCAACCTGGACTGTGCTCACTCAGTGGGGAAGGGGTCTACAAAAGGGTGGCTCTGAATTCTGGGAACTGTCCCTTCCTTTGCCAGGACCAGTTGGGGATGCTGCTCTGTGTACTATAGGGTAGTTTACTGCTTTTGTTTGTTTATTTATTTACTTTTTTTTTTTTTACTTTTTAGAGACAGAGGAGAAGGGAAGGAGAAAGAGGGGGAGAAAAACATCAATGTGTGAGAAATACATCGATCAATTGCCTCTCACATGCTCACAACTGGGGAACCTTGTCCACAACCCAGGCATGTGCCCTGACTAGGAATTGAACTGGGAATCTTTTGGTTCCCAGGCTGGTGCTCAATCTACTGAGCCACACCAGCCAGAGCCTAATTTACTTTTTAGAACTTCTCCCTTCACAAGGAATATATTAACCCATTGCATTGTGAAGGAGTCAAGTGGCACAGACTTCACAGTTCTGGCAATAGACTGCGCATTCTTGCACATGCTTCTTTGTGCACACGTGTAGGTATTCAGAAGGGTAGATTCTCAGAAGTGGAATTGCTGAGTCAAAGGGAGTTACCTTTTCATATTGATAGATTCCCCTTAGTTGTCCTTTGAAAGACTTCACCAACGTACACTACCACCAATGGCATAAATGAGAGATACAGGGTAATACAGTACATCATTGTTTTTCATTTTGTTTTTGACAGTTTGGGGAAAGAAAAATAAATCGTTATTCAATCTACATTTCCCTCACTAGTGAGGTGGAGCACCTTCTCATAATATTTATTGTCCATTCGATTTACTTTGTGAAGTGCCTGTCCACAATTTGTGACTACTTTTCTAGTGAGTTGTTTCTGTTTTATTGATTTGTACATAATTTCTTTGACTATATTTTTTTTAAACTTTGGTTATGATGTCCCTTGCTCAATATAAATTTTAGACTTTTATTTTAGATAAATTTTCCAATCTTTTCCTTATGGTTTCTGGATTTGCAGTCTTGCTTGAGAAGTACTCCACAATTAACAATTTTTATATTTTGCTAATGCTTTTGTACTTCTCTCCTTTAGAAAGATGAACTCCTCAGTCCAGCTGGAATTTATAGTTATATACGGTACATGACATGATATTATTTTTCCATATGGGGAGACATTTGTTTCAAACACTTATTTATTGTATTTATTGAATATTCCACTCCTAGTAGTTGTAAGCAACTGTATTTTGGTCAGGGTTCTCCAGAGAAACAGAACCAATAGAGGTAAGAAGGAGAGAGAGAGAGGGAGAGGGGGAATGATTTGAAGGAATGGGTTTATGTGATTATGGGGGCTAGCAAGTTTGAAATTTGTACAACAGGCTGGCAGGCTGGAAATTCAGGGAAGAGTTGATGTCATAGTCTTGAGTCCAAAATCCACAGGCTAAACACTCAGGAAGAATTTCTATATTGCAGTCTGGAGGCCAAATTCTTCTTCTTCAGGGAACCTCAGTCTTTGCTCTTAAAACCTTCATTGAACTGATTAGAGAGGGCCCACCCCACAGGATGGAAGATAATCTGGTTTATTCCCAATCTACGGATTTAAATGTTAGTCACATCTAAAAAGCACTTTCACAGCAGCATCTGGACTAGGGTTTGACCAAACAACGGGGTGCCAGTTAACACATAAAACTATTTCAGCCAGCCTTCCTATTCTTTTCGCTGTGCGTGGCTCGTCATTGTTATGCA